TCTGGGTGCAAGCGCGTAGAAAAATATGGCCCGTTTGAATGCCATAACCGAGTTCGGTGGGGAATTTTTATTTACTATCCGGATCTGCATTAATCATCACTGTTTTGACAGATAAAAGTTCCATTATGGAGAATCATTTTATCACTTGAATCAATACGTTAATCACTTTCTATCGCAATAAATTATTTTCACTTACATTATTGGCTTTGCCCATTCTTATTTAAAAACTTTAACAATTTCTGGTTCTCCCTTTTTTCATACATTTTTATTGATTTATTTATTTTTAATCATGAAAGTAGTTAATAAATAATTTTTTAATGAATGAGATACTTGGGATTATTGGATTTAATCAAAATTTTCTCCTAAAAATTGGATTTCATCAATTTCGCCGGAATCGAAAATAAAAACTTAGATTACTTCATATGACACCTCAAAATTGCATTTTTTTTTCCTCATCAAATATCAGAGGTTTCCTCGTAACGGTTTATGATCCAAAGGTCTAGACTATAGGTATATATTTAGCGACATGACGAGCCCAATGATCCAAAAATAGCCGAAAGAATCGCGTCAATAATCAGATAAACCTTACGACCCATTGACTGAAGGGGGACTCCTCATGTTTCCTGGAATTTCCATCAAATTAAATCATCGAGTCGATCATTCATATCCAAAATCCTCCCGGATGCTCACCGCATCGAACTACGTGACACAAATCACAATAATCAGTGATTGACTGAGTGAAAAGTGTTGATTCATTGCACGGTGTCTGGAATGGCCGCGTTAGAATGAATTAACCTTTTCACAGATGAACTACCGACTGTGCAATAAAATTGGCATCCATACTAGCCCACGTTCCCGTGTGAGGGCATTCCGTAATAATAAAACAATTAAACCATCCATATCTCCGTGATTTATCGCACTCGATTGTCGGAGAAATTCTTTCTCGATCTCTTAATGACGAAAACCGCGCATCCATCCCACGTGAATATTTATTGACACCCAAAAACCCATTACGAACTTATTTCAATGAGTTTTGTTACTTTCCCTTCTACGTGGGTGGCGCGTGAGATCATTGGCTTGTTACAGAATCAAAGGATCTCACCGAGGGTAATTGGAGGGGCCGTCAACTCTCTCAACTAACTTCACTGAGAAGGACTCGCAAATATCGAAGATGGCGAAAATATCTGTCACCTGAAATCTTTCGTGAAAATGTTAAAAATTCAACCTTTCATTTCCCTCAATTTCACATCGAAAATTGTGTGATATTTGGTGTTCAATTTTCACGATCAGCACCATTTTTATTGAATTCTTGTTAAAAATAGTTTTTCTTTTAATATATGTAAAATAAAAACATAATTGTGCCTAAAGAACACGAATAACGACTTCTCAATATAATTTTTTATCCGATAGAAATGGTCCCGGAAGTGCTCGACCTTTCGCTTCCAACGAGAAATCAAAAATTTCAAGATTAGGTAACAAAACTTTTTCCAATAATTCAGTGTTTTGGGCATCGTAATCGGTAGAAAGGTTACAACATGAGTTTGAACTTCTGTTTGAGAACATTAGCATTTTTTTGCAATATTTGTATTACATCAACGAGCCAAGTTTCTCCTCCCCGCATTCTTCATCATTCCTAATTAGATAATTCGCCTATGGCATCAAATTCGTCAGAGATACCGCGTTAATGAACCCGTGGGGCCATGAAGTAGAATGGCGACCTCATAGGCGAGAGTCAATCGATGGAAGGGAACTGACCTGTGCTACCGCGCCCACCAGAATTCGATGACTTTCACTCGATCATCCCAAACTACCTTCCAAATATGCTAATTAACCCAGATAATTCTCCCAGATATTTGAATTAACATTTATTCGTGATAAGACATCATCAGACGTCGAGTGGCTTTTTTAGAAATCGCAAATTATATCAAATCCCGAGGGAATAACCATGGGTTCTTTCGGTTTGCGTAATTATTTGGGGCCGTAGAGAGAACTCGTATTAATTTCAATCAACAAAGTTAATTACTTCAGGGCCGATTACTCGCTGGGTCAAGTACTTCTTCTCTCTACCTCATTTGGACAGCATTTTCCGAGCTACCGGGTATTAAGTACACTATACACACGTCACATAAACGTCTTTCGTGCCTAATTGATATTACCCGGGTAAATACTGAGACGAAAAAAGCTTACTTGCAAGAATAAAGGAAAATCACTCAATTCTATAATTGCAAGTATGCATGAAAAATAATGAACATGATCAATTCTGCCATCCGATTTTTTCATGATGTCAAAAAAAAATCGAGAAAAATTTTATGCTTTTATCTTCATTCAATGCACTCTGCATTTTTTCCCATTTTTCCAAGTTTTTTTCCATAATGGAGATGAACAAATTTAAAGAATTTGTGGGGGAAAAGTTTTATACAAAGTTTTATACACTACTAAAAGAATTTATATAGAGATATTTTTTTCAGATTGTAGATTGAGTGTATTTTCAGAGTAGATAAAAATACAGAATTTTTGCAGATCTTTTCGAAACATGAAATTTGACGAACGCAAAAAGCCGTTTTGGATTAAAAAAAAATGGAATCATTACTTTTACAAAGAAAAAGGTTGAAGAATCGAAAATTATGGTAAATTAGAATTCTTCGAAAATGTAAAAAACTTTTAAACAAGTGGAGTTATGGACTTCGAAGAATGGAAATAAAAAAAAAACAGTCATTAATTTTTCAAATTTAAAGCAAAGGACGAAAAAAACACGAAGCATCGCGGATTCTTGTACAAATAAAAGATTTCTCTTGAGAGTGAGAAATTATTTTTACGAGCATAAAACTGGCATTCGTTTGGCACTAGAGTCCACAGATGGAGAATCCATGGCCAGAGGGTAGAATCGGTGGGGAATGAGAGTAGCAATAATGATGGTTGAAGGAAAGCAAAAGTATCGCTGTCAGGCAGTTCGAAGTAGTTAACGTTCCCCGCGATTTGGGACAATGTTAAAAAATGTTCACTGAAATTTCTGGTACACTTCATGCAAATTAACCTCATCACAGCAAAAAACACGGTCTCAAATCAAGATCCACACATCAATTATACTGTTTGGAAATTGTTCTCGAAATTTCAAGTAAAAACTCAACACACTTTCAAGAAAAAAATTAGTGCATACTCTAAATTTTTTACAATCAGAAATTTACATACAACTTTGGCTCATTTTGTTGTTAAAATCCGAATATTCTCGATCTATAAACCGATAATTAATATTAATAAAAATAGTGAAAATATATTTTTATTATTAGTTTTATAATAGGCTTTTGGGAAAATTGTGGGAAATTCAAACAAAAATTTCGTTGAACTTTCAATCTATCAGATATTCACTAGCCTTTAATGGCGAAAATCAATCATTATTTAATCTGAAAAACATAATTTCCAATGGTTGCAAGAAAAATGAAAAATTTAGTGACCGTTTATAATTGAAGTTGAATTCAAACTCATACAATTGAAAATTCAGATGACTTCGTACCTAAAATTTCAAGAAATTTTTAACAATGCATGCGATTCTACTTTCACAAATCTGGGCCTGAATTGTCTTAATGAATCCTAATAGTCAGTCACCTTGAGGAGAGGCAACGAAATGAGGGGCCTTCCGCCGGACGTCAGGGCTTCACGCTGTCTTGAGTATTTACGCGAATTTTATTCATTACCACTCTGACCCAAAATAGTTTCATTAACCGGATCCTTGGATACACTGAATTTCGCAATAATTCCATACGGCACCCCCGCGGTCTCTCTGACGCTGAGAAGGTTGCATGGGCCGTTGATCTATGTCACGATGACATTTCGCACCTTTTTCGTTTATATTGCGTACATAATGACTACCTGCGGATTAAGAGAATTTATGACCCGTATGGATATGATCAAATGGCAAACGTGTGGTCAATCTATCCCATCGACGAGGCCTCGTAAATTCCGTAGTATTTAATTGGACACGGATGCCCCTTGTAAAATAACAGAAAAAAAGGGTTCTGCTGCTTATAAGTGCACACGGTGTCAGATCGTTGGCGATTGGAATTGAAGAGACGGTAGAACAATGAGCCAAATGCGTTTTGAATGTTAATGTTCACTCGTAGGGCGGATACATGCTAATTTATTCTTTGTCAATAGGTGATTGCACTGGGTATTCTGCAAGTTGCAGAGGGACAACAGATCAGACAAGGAAAGGAACTGCTTCTCAGTATCAAGGATGATCAAAAGAGCCAGTACTTAAACCAAGACTTCGAAACGAGTTAGTATTGTTCTTCTTACGTATAATCAATTTGTAAAAAAAAAATCCTGCACTTTCCCTAATAAATTCCATTTGAGTTCCGTTGAAATTTTATTGAAATAACATTTGTTCCTTGAGTTTGAATTACAATAAAAATGAAATACAACGTAAAGAACGTGGAAAATTAACGCCCAAGAATTTCTACGGAAATGTAAAAATCTATTAAATTTCATTCTATCAAATATCTCAATAAAATCACACCATAAAATTACATAAGCTTCTCCACGAATGACGCAAAAATCAGATAGAATTTTAATAAAATTTGTTAGAGAAATCGCTGCATTTTTCCGTCAATTTTTTATGCATGCTCTTCTTGGTCGTCAGAAATTTCGCTAATGCTTGGTTCTACTTTCTATCAGATTCATATAACTACGGATATGACGTCACTCCAGATGGCCAACAGTTTCACCATGAAACGCTTGGTCCTGACGGCGTGACCTACGGATGTTATGGATATGTTGATCCATTTGGAAAAATGGTGGCAATTTTCTATATAAGTGATGGTTGGGGTTATCGAGTTGTTCGCCCCAGGGAGGATATCGAAATTTTCCTCCACAAACATGAGCATCATCAACACAACGACCATGATGATCATGACCACCATGATCATCATGAACATCACGGAGTTGTCACTCCTTGGAGAGATTTACATTTTCCGACAACTTGTAATCGATATGAAGGAGGTACCATGCGCCCGTCCAGACCTGAATGTAAGATTATAGAAAACCCCTATATTTCCAAGATGTATATTTTCTTGTAGGCATTGCTTTAGTCAAAAGATGATTATGCATATTTTTTACAGTTCCTTCATCCGGAAGCTCTAACGGAGGTCCGAGTCAACCTGTGAAACCTGAAGGAACCTATCCCAACCAGCCTGGAACAGGCGCACCTCAGAGACCAGGAGTCCCTCTTCAGCCAAATCAACCTGCAACAGGTACATCTCAGAGGCCAGGACGCCCCTCTCAATCGCCTCAGCCCGGCCAGCCGGGAGAAGGCACACCTCAGAGACCCGGAACGGCTTCGCAGCCCAATATCCCAAACCAGCCTGCGACCGGTGCATTTCCCAGACCAGATATTCCACCTCAGGGTTATCCAAGTCAACCTGGAACGGATACGTCTCAAATCCCCTCGCAGCCGAGTTATCCTGGTCAATCCGGAGGGAGCACACCACAGAGACCAGGGGTGCCACCCAAACCAACTTATCAACCTGGAAGTCAACAGAGACCTGGAACAACAGTCCCGCAGAGTTTTCCTGGCCAACCAGAAGTAGGCACTCCACAGAGACCTGTAGAAACGTCTCCTTCGGGTTATCCTAATCAACCTGGCTCTACCCAAGGCCCATCATCACAACCGAGTTTCCCCGGGCAGCCCGCAGGAAGCACTCCCCAGAGACCAGGATCGCCGCCACAACCTAGTTATGGAAATCAGTCTGGAGGAAACACTCCACAGAGACCGGGTTCACCGTCAAAACCAAGTTATGGAAATCAACCCGGAGTAAGCACGCCACAGAGACCTGGATCTCCGTCACAACCTAATTATGGAAACCAGCCTGGAATAGCGGCTCCTGGAAGCTATCCTAATCAACCTGGCTCTGTGCAATTACCAGGAACATCGCCCCAACCAAGCTTCCCTGGCCAGCCAGGAATAAGTACTGAACAGAATCCAGTTACGCCCTCACAACCGAGTTATCCAAATCAGCCTGGACCAGTGCAAAGACCCGGAGTACCGTCCCAACCGAGTTATCACCCGGCTCGGCCCGGATCTACTTCGCAGTCGAATATTCCCAGTAGGCCTGCAACCGGCAAACCACAGAGACCAGATATAGCCCCCCAGGGTTATCCAGGTCGACCCGGAACGAGTACGTCTCAGGAACCTTCACAACCGAGTTATCCAAATCGGCCTGGGGTAAGCACTCCACAGCGACCGGGTTCGTCGTCACAACCTAGTTATGGAAATCAGCCTGGTGTGAATCCACAGTTGCCAGGGTCTTTCCAACCCGGTTATCCAAATCAGTCCGAAGGCGGAACTCCATCAAGACCTAGTACTCCTCTACAACCCAGTCATCCAGGTATCTCAGGCCCATCTGTACAACCTATTCCCCCGGCGAGTACTGGTACTTCATCCAGACCTGGAGTACCATCTCAGCCGGCTTATCCCAACCCACCTGGAGGACAAGTTCCTCCGCGACCGGGTTCTTCTTACAAACCCTCCTCTCCCAACTCTCCTCAACCTGGCCGTCCTGTTCAACCCGGAACCACTTTCCCATCGAGGCCTGCATCTTCGACACCCGGATCTGGAACACCGGCATCGGGAGCTCCTACTCAGCCCGGATTTCCAGCAAATCCTAACTATCCAAATCCTGCAGGGGGTGCTCCATCGAAACCTAGCGGACCTCAAGGATCTGGAACTCCATCACAACCAAGCTACCCGCATCAACCAGGAACGAACATTCCCGCATATCCGGAATCCAGTCGGCCCTCGGTCCCCGACGCAAATGCTCCAGCTCGACCTATTTCTCCGTCTCATCCCGGTTATCCGGATCAGTCTAGACCGAGTCGTCCGTTGGACGGTGGAAGGCCATCCCAACCTGATTATCCAAATCAACCCGGATCGAGTATACCAATTCGTCCAAGCCCACCGAAACCGAGTTATCAGCCAGGATCGACGACTCCATCGCGACCCTTCCCTCTTCCGCAGCCTAGCCAACCAGAAAATAATGGGCCAACACAGCCCGATCACCCCACTCCATCGATACCCGGTACACCAGTACAGCCTGGCTATCCAAGTCAATCAGGAACTCACATTCCAACGTCTCCTGGAAAACCGTCACAGTCTGGTTACCCAAGTTTACCTGGAACGGGCAGCCCATCGAGACCCGGTGCGCCAGCAAATTCTGACCGTCCTAGTCAATCAGGAACAAATATTCCATTATCCCCGGGTAGTCCACCGGCATCCGGAGTACCAGTACAGCCTGGCTATCCTAATAAGCCAGAAACTAATTTCCCTCCAAAACCGGACAGCCCATCGCAGCCTGGCCATCCTACTCAACCAGAAACACACATTCCATCATCCCCCGGCAACAGACCGCCGTCTGGCTATCCAAGCCGACCAGAAACAAGTGGTTATCCAAATCAGTCAAATCATGGAACAAGCAGTCCATCGAGACCCAGCACACCAGTACAGCCAAGCTACCCTGAGCAATCTGGAACACATATCCCATCATTACCTGGAAGCCCCTCGCAGCCTAGTCATCCAAGTCACCCTGCAAGTAGTCCACCGGCATCCGGAATACCATCACAGTCTGGATACCCTAATCAGCCAGGAACACATATCCCATCATCGCCTGGAAACCCATCGCAGTCTGGTTATCCAAGTCACCCTGGAACAAGTAGTCCACCTGCATCCGGAGTACCATCACAGTCTGGGTATCCAAGCCGACCAGAAACTAGTAAACCTTCTCGCCCGAGCGTCCCCTCAAAACCGGGTTATCAACCTGGGTCAAGCCATCCGCTTCGTCCAGGAAAACCCAATAAACCGAATGCACCAAATGGACCCGGATACCTTCCTCCGAAGCCGAGTCGACCTCATCCACGTCCTCCACACCGTCCAAATCGTCCAGGAAATGAACCACCATCGAATTCAGGAAGTCCTGCACGGCCGATCTTACCTCCTTCCGGTGCTCCTATTCACCCAGGCTGTGATTCAACTCCTTGTCAGCCCGCAACATCGCCAAGCAGTCCGAGCTTACCGAGTTATCCGCCATCTTCTGGCTATCCAGTCTCCCCGGGTATCGGTTACCCAGCAACTGACTATCCTCAACAGCCAGAAACGGCAGCTCCGCCTTCATACCCCGGATATCCTGATCCTGACAATCCTAATTACCCCAATTATCCTCAAGCCCCGGGCGGTCCCGTTGGTAGTACAGGCCCTGTAGGAGGCATTGGAAATCCAGGACCTATTGGAGGCATTGGAGGTGATGGTGGAATTGGAGGCATCGGAGGTGACGGTGGAATCGGAGGCGACGGAGGAATCGGTCCTGCAGGACCAGACGGCCCATGGCCAACAGGTTCACCAGGACCTAGCGGACCATGGCCCGGTGACCCTCGCTTCCCACCTCAAGGTACCTTCAGAACACCGTATCCAAACAACCAATACCTTCCTCCACCTTTCTATCCTCAACCAGAGAACCCAAACATTTATGCCGGACAAGACAACTACGACCAAACGAACTACCCATACGCAGAGCGAATTGAAATCCCTGATTCTCGTCAACCCGCGCCATTCAGCTTGACAGAAAACTCACCCGTACAAACAAACCCAAACAATTACGCAGAATCTCACAAAAATCGTAACTCCCAGCGCACGATGCTAGCCAACATGGTGAACGCAGAGGACAACACCGAAAACGACAAGAGAGTAATTGTAAACCAATCAATCCAATTGCCTTCAAACCGAAAAATTGAGAAGGAACCAAACGACTACGATCTCCGAAATACTCCACCCTTCGAAGATCTAGAGCATCAGATATCTCGATATGATGAAAATTACGGAGAATTTCAATCAGGAAGTCGAAAACAAGCTCCCCCATCACCTCATCACGAACAAGAGCAATTGAGTGAATTCCAAACTCTTCCTGAAAAGCCGAGTGACCCCGCCCAGAAAATAGACCAGGTAAATACATCGCCGGAAAGTCCAGAATTCTCAACAATTGGTGTCCGACCACCCGGGCCAATAAAAATCAAGCCAATTCCCCTTCCAGTCGGTCCAAACCCCGACATGTGTCCCTGTTACATCGTAGAATCAAAGAACACATCAATCTCTGCACCAATCACCACGACACCGAGTGCAATCATAGAGAAAGAAATCAATGGAACTCCCGTGTACGGTCAATTGGGTTTCATCCCCGTTATTTTTGTCCCCTATTGTCCAGGTGATGACCCTGACGATGAAAGCATGACTCGCGCCATTTTTCCAACAGCAACACCTGTACCATATCCGTGCAATGTTTGCGATGGTCACCAGGACAATCCCATAATCGGTGGAAGGCACTTCGATCTCAGTCAGCTCAGCAACATCAAAGCCATAAGGCGTGTGCTCAGCGAGGCAAATCTTGGTTACTTGAATGTTCCAGGTGTTGCGGTGAAAAGTCCTCGATCACGAAACCACAGACGGAAAGTCAAGAGGAGGAAAAGCAGCGATTGATGGGTACCACATTTTCCCGGCTCTTCGACTTGACGCCAATACCGTTAGAAGTGGAAACGGAGACTTGTACTCAGTGTACGGAGCAAGCGCAATCGTAAGTGAATTGGATTAAACTTCGACTGCTGGCTGGTCGACAGAAATCAATGTGGTACTTTAGTCGTCGTGCTGCTGAGTACAACCATTATCCTCCCTTCCTCTACCATCAGCTTTGTTACATCACTTGCTCATTTCGGTGATTCAGGAGAACTCGTAATCTTAGGTTTAGGGCTAATACCGACTGACGATCCATTCAACTTCGAAAGTAGATTTTTATAATCGTGCGCTCAGAGAGAAATACATGTTTTCTAAGTTTTTATTAAATTTAATAGAACCAACGTTTTCTATTAAATTTTATCACGTGTTTTGGGGAAACAATGAATTCTCATCGCAAGACCGAACTCGGCCCTAGAAATGGATTTTTCTTCTTAGCACATTGTGTCCGTTCTCCTTTTACGTAGATTTACCTAGATGTTAGTTACCATGATTCATTACTCTGAGATTATTAAGATAACGGTAACTGGGGATCTTCGAGATTCGCAGTGCTGCAAGTAAATTATATAATTGTATATATTAACGTTAACATTAATACGTGCTATGTATGATAACGGGTGTTCATGATTGTCTCCTACGATATAAACAGCAGAAGATAGTTTTAATAACAATGTATTTGTAAAAAGTATTGAAAATTTCAGTTGTTTAGAATAATTTTATGGGACGCGTACGACTTGTACGTCAAATAAAGAATATGAATGATGGATAGTTCATGAGTCGCTTTATGAGTACCCTCTGTACCCAGAGGGCGATCCTCCATAGAAGCCGCTGCCTCTGCTGGCATATGGGTAACTGCCATATCCACCATAACCAGAATAACCCCCATAGCCTCCGAGTCCGGAGTATCCGTAGCTGTCCAATCCACTCCAGCGATTGTACCCTCTTCCTCCTAGAAGCCCATCATCATATCCATAGCCTAAACCGCTTCCATACCCTCCGTACCCTCCATACCCTCCGTACCCCGAGAGTCCACTTCCATATCCATAACCACTGGTTCCATATCCGTAACCACCGTACCCAGATCCATAGCCACCGTAGCCCGAACCGTATCCATATCTGCAAGCAAAACAACACAATGATTCATCTCAGAATGATTATTCAGGTATGAGTCATTTGCAGAACAAATGAGAAAAGTTGAGACAGTTATGTAATTTACCCAGCATTGCCGCCCCCCAGGATTCCATTTATCCCGGACGAATATCCTCGGTAGATGGAATTTGGAGCGTAGCCACGGTTATAGTTGTAAATGCCTCCTGGATAATTTCCATAGCCATATCCCCCGCCGTAACTGCTCCCGTAATCCCGGCCGATCAAGAACGCTGGAAGTAAAGGGCATTGAAGAACATGCAAATTTCTGTTGTGTAACCGCTCGAAACTAGAGAGATGAGACACGAGATATCTCTACGAAATTTCGGTGAACGTTCAAAAGACAATAATTTTTTATTGAATTAACTAAATATTGAAGATGCCCAGGTGGAGCTTGAACTGACAACCGTCAGATTTCCTCTATGACAATTTCATTTCGTTTAACCAGGCTTTTATTATAATATCTTAATATTCTTTAATCAATTTTTACTAAAAAAATATTTATAATCAATTGTTTTTTAGGTAAATTCGTGAGAGAACCTTATTAATTGAACTATTATGGCGAGTCCGTTTGTGATTACAATTCGAAATAAAAATCCGCAATGTGAACGTAATGTTTTGTCATTATAATTTGAGAAGAGGAAATTCACAGATATTAATGGTTGATTTGTGGAGGATGAGTGGCGGATTTAGGAGTAACAGTCTCTCTTAATAGCCCGGGTCATAATAAAACGATGGGAAGGGTTAATTGGTGGTGATCATCAGTCGCAGTAGAATTTTCCCAACAACATGAATATTACGTATCACATGCACACGGCAATCACCGGAGCTTGACGAGACCGACATTGACTGACAACCATATTCATACTCATACGCTGCATTTTCTAAGGAAACGGATATGACGTCAGGATCCACTGATGTTTATTAGTCATTAACTAAACACCAATGTGGGGCAGAGTATCTATGAAGAGCGGGATAACGGGAATCTAGTTTCACTTTCGATTTGTTTTGACAGTTTGTAGACGCTTTGGCGTCTGGTTTTGTAAACGAAAATAGTTTAACGATTCACACGATTCGGGTTAAATGTCGCTTGAACGATCTTTCCACATTTAATTGATCGTTAAAAAAACAAAAACATTGTTGTTCCATTCGAAAATCTGTTCTGTTTCCCCAAATTTTTTCAATGTTCCATTTTCCCTTCAAAATGATCTACGCGCCGTTACTATTACTTAAATGTTTTTTTATGGAGACAAATATTATTTCGGACAAACGAATTATTGAAATTTAAAAGTAAAAATTTGAAATGTATGTTAAACATGAAAATCATATTGTTACATTCAAACTCGATGGCAACTGGTGAAAATGGCATAAGTCACGTTTTTTTTTCAAGTCTATTTAATGAGATTTCAAATGAGTATGAAATATATTACCCCAATACGGAAGAA